AAAAGACTTCTCAGCAGTCTTGAGACCAGTATTCTACTTGGCCCCAAAATTAAGTAACACATTCTTTCCCGTTGGTGTGCCTGGGCAAATATGAGAGCAGATGAGCTTGATGGCCTCTCACCCCTTGCCCTTTTCCCTGTTGCTGCCATTAGAACATCAATAAAGATAGTTTTTGTAGTTGAGAAGCTTCATAGCATGCCTGAGCTAGTAGTAATAACCTTCTGTGTTAACCTGAGACAAAAGTCAGTCAGTCCCTTTGCTGCTAAAGCTTTGTTCTCAGCCCATGTGCACGCATGCACCCCTGCTCACTAACAGCGTGTTTGTATACGCATAATCAGGTACTGCTAATTTAGAACAATGAAGCCTTTCTATGTTTTTATGTTAAAAACTAGTTAACAAGAAAAACTGGTCTTCAGGAACAGCAAAATGTCATGATTAATGCTTCCATTCCCCAGCCATTCCCAGCTCTCCCCCTAGTTTTTCCCAGTTATACTTCATGTTCAGGTGCTGACCTCAGGTTTAATTTTCTGGTAGAGTGTAATCTCAGCTGTTCTGTATTCAGAAGTGCATCTAGGATAGTGTTTGTTCTTTGTTTTGTATTCTCCCTTGGTAAAGACTTGCAGCCCACAAAAATCATACAGAGCAGGAGTGGCTCAGGGTTACAGATGCAAACTCTGGAGGCTTGAGCTTGATTTTTCACTGCCATGGATTTCCTGGATAATCTAAGGCAGGTCAGTGAGGTCAAGGGTCCTCAGTGGAGGGTATGTATATAGATTTGTAAGACTCTAGATGCTGTATCTATGTGCCATAGGGTGATTTCAAGTAGGGAGCATGAGGGGGCTACAAAGCAATCGCTTAGTATGGTAGCAAGGGTCATCAGGATCTTAGTAAGGATGCAGGTAAGGATAAAATTGTGTTAACCATCTGGATTTTTGTTTTAGGTGCGTTCTCTTCAAGCCACGTTTGGAGATTTTGAATCCATGATGAAAATTGCTCAGCAGAAGCAGGAGGTTACTGAGAAGGCGGTTAAGCAAGGGGAGAATGAAATTAATCGGATCAGCGAAGTGCTTCAGAAGCTGCAAAATGAAATTTTGAAAGACTTGTCTGATGGCATCCACATGGTGAAGGATGCAAGGGAACGAGACTTTACATCACTGGAAAACACAGTGGAAGAGAGACTAACGGAGCTAACCAAGTCTATCAACGATAACATTGCCGTATTCACTGAAGTCCAGCAAAGGAGCCAAGATGAAATAAAAAATATGAAAGCAAAAGTTGATTCACTAGAAAAAGCAGATGAGTATAAGCGTGAAATAAAGGTGCTAAAGGATGCATTTGGTGAGATGCAAGCATCCATGAAAACCAAAGAAAAAGACATAGAGACCTTGAAGAATACAATAAACTCCATGGAGTCTGATGTTTATACCGAAGTGAAAGAATTAGTCAATCTCAAACAGGAGCATGAGAAATTCAAAGAGGCTGCAGACACTGAGCACCTCTCATTAAAAGCTTTGCAAGAGAAAGTTCTGAGAGCAGAAGAGTCTGTTATGCAGCTCCCTGATGACATTAAAAGACTTGATGAAGATTTACTGCGTATTAAAGCTCAGCTCAGCAAATGGGAAGAAAATGAACTCTTTAGAAAAGCATTAGAAACTTTTGAAAATAACAGCGAAGGACTAGAGTCTCGATTGAGGCACATAGAGGAGAGCTTGAAGTCTGTAAGTTCTGTTGCTTCTCAGCATGACGAAAAGTTACAATCATTCCTTTCTAAGGAGGCAGAATATGACAACAAGCTCAGTACTCTAGAGCAAAGCATGAGTGGTCTTCAGGGAATCACAGGTATGGACATAACTTCAGTCTCAGACGTTCTGAAAAATCTGGGTGAATCACAGACTTCACTTTACAATGATGTAGAGGACTTAAGAAGAAGTATCAGTGACTTGCCATCCTCAGATGTCCTTCAGGATGTCCAGAAGCAAATTAGTATTTTGTTGGATCAAGGAAGTCTTCAGATGGGTCAAGAACATTCTCAAGGATATCTTGAAAAATTTAATTCTGTGGAAGGCTCTGTGGATGAACTGAGATCCTCTGTCAGCCAGGTTGATTCTGATTTGAAAATGATCAGAACTGCAGTGGATAGTTTAGTTTCCTACTCTGTGAAAATTGAGAATAATGAGAACAACTTGGAGTCTGTCAAGAGCTCCATAGATGACCTGAGGAATGATCTGGAAAGATTGTTTGTGAAAGTTGAAAAAATACATGAAAAAGTTTAGGCAGCATTGCTCCTTGTGCATATATTGGATTAAAGAAAATAGCTTTTGTAAGCCCAGTTTTTTACTCTTTTTAAAAGCAATTTGATACCTCCAAAGAGAATACTTTAATAATAGAGACAGTTCTGCTTATTTCCTTTATTTCTCTTTTTGTGTAGTTGTTTTGTTTTTGTTTTTTTTCTATTTTATTTTGAGAAAACATGAGTTTAATTATGGGTTTCTAAGCGCTTCTGTTCTTTGTAAAGTTGTACCACTGCAACTGTAGTGGTGTAACTAAGGCACTACAGCCTCATCAGCGTGGGCACATATTTAACGGTATGAAGATGGTTCACACTATGACATTAGAAATTCCACACCAAAGTACCACAGCTATTCTGGTATGAAAAGTGTACTGCCATATGCACTGAGGATTTTACTTGTGAATGTGGTTTAAAAAGCAGACGAACAAACCTGTCACCCTGTCAAATGAAGAGACCTATCACCCTGATCAGCTTTGAAGCAAGTCACCCATTTCTGCAGTTGTGGCTCAGCCATGGGGTCAGTTTACCAGCTACCAGCTGAATTACGATCCATTTCTTTGTGCCCTTAAAATGCACCATGGAACTAATGGGAAAGCGGGACCTCCAGTAAGGAGAGGTTTGAAGTGGTATTGCTTGGGAATGAGACCTAAGAGAGTGCTCCACCATATGGCTGGAGACGTCAATTGCTTGTGGGTTTCTGTACCGGCAACTTCAGCTGCTGGTGCAACAGACTGGTGCTCAGGAGGAATGTCTGCAAAGTGGGTACAGTAATTCCTGTTGTATTTTTGGGCTGTTTACATGATAAGGCTGTTTCTTACTCGTAGAGACCTAAGACTCCATGATACAGAATTTTCTTTAAAAATGATCACAAATGAGGAAGAAGGACTAAAATTGCAGTTGTCATGTTTCCTGTATAGCAATCATGCTAATAATAATAATACATTTCACAACACAAAAGGGGGGAAATCAGCATGAAATCAGCAGAATTGCTTCTAAAGTATATACATTTCCAGGTTTTCACACAGCTGACAATGACCTGAACTTAGGGCCAATTCCTTATGACTGGTTTCCCTCTGTATCTGCCTGGGGCACCACTAGTGAAGGATTCTTCCTGTAACTGGTTGAGAGAGAGGAAAATGTGTCACAATGCTCCAGGTGTTTATGTTCATTTCAAAATCACTTTCACACTGAACTTTTTTGGTTTTCTGTCTGAAAGGATATCCCTCTGTTTCAAGTTTACTTTTGAACTTTATCTGAAGATTTAGTACAGGGTTCTGCACATAGATATCTTGAAAATAGGAACCACCGCTGGCTTTTGTGCATTGTGCCCACCTCAGCCTGCACTTTGGCTACATTAGGAAAATCATTCCTAGAAATAGCTTCTCTAAAGTGGTGTGTTTGTGGGAACAGCACAGGTGAAAGGGAGTTCTCTTAGTTAAATAAGATAGCAAGCTGTATCTTGTGTTGTTCACACTGTAAACAGGAAAGAACTGCTGGCAAAGAAATAGACCCATGGATTTAAGATAACTGTTGTCACTGTTTGAACTGCACTGTTCTTCTCAATTTCTTGAACAATGTTGTTTAGGTTACTGTGAAATGAACTGTATGGCTTGTTTGCAGTATTTTTAATGCATAATAAATGTTTGGAATATTCTTTGCACCTTTTTTTTTTTTTTTTTTTTTTTGTTATTTGCTTGTTATTTAATGTAGTGTTTGCCAAGAGGTTCCCAGTGGGTAGAGGAAAGGGCCTGAAGGAAGCACCAGAGCTTTATGCTGAGGAGGGACACAGCCCTTGACTTCTCAGTTTTCACTGGAGGTAGTTTAGCTGCTCTGCTTACAGAGGAACTCTTGATGGATTTTGAGCCTCATCAGTGTTGCAGCGTTGTCTAGAATGCTCAGGAGCTTAGGATGATACTTGCGAGGTGAGAAGTATGTGATGAATGTAGTGAATGCATGAGAGGCTGGATGCCACCAGCAATGCCATTGGTGAGACTTTCTCAATGCCCGAAGTACGTAGAACAGAAGTAACGTGCAGAAAGGACCTACATAACTTTTGTGAAATGGCTGCACCTTGTGGGTAGCTTTGAACACTGGACTGCAAGGTCTGAAGCTGGCAACATCTCCATGAAGGGTGCCAGACTTGAAAAAGTTTAGGAAAGGCAGATATCATTTTGATTACCCTAAAGATGAATACAAGCCTGCTGCGTAGCTTTGGTATGGTAAGGGCCAAATCTTATTTCTCCTGTTCTGCTTACAGTGTTGGCAAAGAATTTGGTCTATGATGGTGTAACTGCACCAATGGACAAGGGAGGAGCCACTGATGTCATCTGTCTGGACTTCAGTAAGACATTTGATATAGTCTCACATAACATCCTTCTCTGCATGGATGAAAAAAACATGGATTTGACAAGTGGACTGTTTGATGGACAGGAATCTGTTTGCAAAATCATACCTAGAAAGTAGTGGTCAATGGCTCAGTGTCCAGATGGAGACCAGTGACAGCTGGTGTCCCTCAGGGGTCAGCACCCATTGGGACCAGTGCTCTTTAGTATCTTCATCAATGACATTGGCAGTAGACAAGTTTGCAGATGACACCAAGCTGTGTGCTGTGATCAACATGCCTGAGGGATGGAATGCCATTCAGAGAGACCTAGACAGTGGGCAGGGGAGAACCTCATGAGGTTCAACAAATCCAAGCACAAGATCTGCACCTGGGTCGTGGCAACCCCCATTATCAGTATGAGCTGGGGGATGAAAGGATTGATTCTAGCCCTGCCAAAAAAGGCTTGTGGGTGCTGGTGGACAGTAAGCTGGACATGAGCCAATAATGTGCCTTCAAAGCCCAGAAGGCCAACTGTATCCTTGGCGGCATCAAAGGAAGCATGGCCAGCAGAGTGCAAGAGGTCCTGTCCCTCAACTCTGTGTTGGTGAGACCTTGCCTGGAGTACTGTATTCAGATGTGGAGACCTCAGTACAGGAGAGCCATAGACCTGTTGGAGTCCATCCAGAGGGCCACAAAAATGATCCAAGGGATTGAACACCTCTCCTATGAGGACAGGCTGGTAGAGCAGGAGCTGTTCAGCCCAGAGATGAGAAGGATCTGGAGAGACCTGAGAGTGGCACATTGGCCTGAGAGAGTATCTAAAGGGGGGCTGTAAGAAGGCAAGGGACAGACTGTTTAGCAAGGTCTGTTGTGAGAAGGCAAGGGGAAATGGTTTCAAACTTCAAGAGGGAAAATTTAGATTGGACATAAGGGGGATGGTTTTTACAATCAAGTTGGTGAGGCACTGGCACAGGTTGCTCAGTGAGGAGGTGGATCCCCCATCCATGGAGACACCCAAGGTCAGGCTGGAGAGGCTCTGATCACCCTGATCTACCTGCGGGTGTCCCTGTTTGTTGCAGGGGAGTTGGACTGGTTGGCTTTTAATGGTCCTTTCCAAGTCAAATGATTCCACGATGATTCTATCAGTGTGGGCATCATCATGTCCTGATAGTTCCCAAGGCCCACTTCACAGAGCTAGGTAATGCATGTTATTAGACTACATGTGTGTTCAACAAAACAGGGGAGCACGCAAACCCTTCCTGCTAGAGGAGAATCAGCACAGCCTGTTGACAGGAAGGCACTCAAGTCCATGTAATGGCTTTGAAGGGTAGTATCCTCTTAATGAGGGAGCATAATGACACTTTAAAGCCAGCCACATGGCCAGGCCACATTGGACCTCAGAAGTTAAATGAAAAACAACTAGTTATATGTCTAGTAACTTCAATTCTGTGGCAAACTTTTGAAATGATTTATTTCACTCAGTAAGAATAATTGGTCATAAATAATAATGTGGCTGGAGGTAGGCACAGCTGCAAAGATCCGTTTGCATACCTCAGGTCCAGCTTTTGTATTTGGCTTGACAGCTTCACGCAGCACAAACACTTCCTAATGTCCTAATAAATGCTCAAAGAGCACACTGAGTCTTAGCACTGCTTTTTACCATCGTTTTTTACACTTTCCAATGAAAGAGAAGACGGCCTCAAGCAATCCATAGTCAGTCACCAGTGTTATTTTACATTAATAGCTGTTCATGAATAAACTGCTGTTTCAGTAACAAATTTCAGCTGAAACTGTCCAGCTGATTGATGAGGTATTATTGATCAAGCCGGCTCATTTGTCTTTATTTTCATCTCTGATCTTACAAATGGGGAAGCCATTAGACCCGGGCACTGAGGACTTGGTTACACTTGAAAGGGCTTACCTGTATTCTGCCTGGCAAACTGGGTGGAGGTAAACCTGGAACTTACTGGTGCTTGGACTTCTCCCAGTGGGGATTAGACCACTGTCTCAAGTGAAATAACCTGTAACAGCAAAAAGAATTGCTGGTGGCATGGATGTGTATGTTAGAGGTTTTGTTGAAACACAGATTAGTGGTTTAATCTTTTCACCATTTTATTTGACATATCTCAGCTGGTAGTATAAACAAAGTTGTAGAAAAGTTAAACAACTACAGGAAAAAAAGGCTTACTGAGATGTGCAAACAGCAGAACTGCCTAAAAACTTGCAATGTGGGCCCTCTGCTCTGCTCAGCACTGCTAAGGATATCCTCTCCCCTGTGCAGAGACTGAGGAAAGGTGTGGCTCAGCCGGAGAGGCTCTGGCAGAGAAAGATAGTGACGATCAGAGGTAAAATGTCTTGTGAAAAAAAGATTGAACAGCTGTGATCATTTAGGCTTGAAAACAGTGGAGGGGCTGAAGGGAAAAAAGGGAGGAAACAAATAGTACAGTTCTCAAATATGTAAAAAGTAGTTCTGAAGAAAGAAAGGACTCATTTGCTTATTGTGAAGAGGGTGAGGTGGGGCTGAAATGCAGCAAGGCAGAGATAAGGACATTACAGGGGAGCAGAGAGCTGCGGGGCCATCACTGCTTTCTGGTGAACCTTCCCATGGCGCAACTTTGAGGGCTCATGCTGGGAGTAGCACAGGGCAGATGTGCAGTGTGTTTCTCTTCCACTGTGGCCTGCAGTACTCTCTCCACTGGTACTTATTCTGCCCACTTTGCTAATAACTGGTCCCTGATGTATTTGTTGTGCCATTAGCTGCTTTGTTTATAGGTGTTTTGGGATGGGAAACCTGTAGTCATTTTGCTTTTAATGTTAAATAACTGGAATATGATACTTAGCACTGCAAGATGCTCATCCCTGTTGGTTCTCAAAGTACCCTACATTGCTGCTACCCTTCTTGCATGCATATTAGCCCTTGCCATCCTCTGCCAGCAGTGAGCAGGTGTTCACGGACATCAGAGGTGCAGGGTCACAGTATTTACACAACATTTATTTCCAAATCCTGGTAGGAAATGCTCAAAGAACATTCAAATCCATTCCCTTTTCAAACAGTCCCTTTGCTCCAATGGTGACCAGAGATGCTCAAAATAATTCTACCCTGCACACCAAAGCAACGTGTATTTTCTGTTGGCTCATGTAACAAAATCTCTCCAGAATCTCTTGGTGTAAATCATTTTGCAAGCTCCCAAAATAATGTCTTCAGTAGTTGGAGCTCACTCACACACAGAGAGGAAACTCAGGAATCTGTTTATAAGAGCAGAATTTGATGACTTTGACATTTATAATGCAAGTGCTAAAACATAGAGGTATTTGAAGTTAATACAACATCACAGTTTTAGCCTGCTAGACCTAAGACAAAGAGATCCCAGAGCTCTGTTTTTTAAGTATGAGAACATATGGAACAGGTGTTCCTTTGGCTGATAAGGAACTGCAAATGATGCATCCCAAAATCTTTTCCACGATGATGCTGCCTAGGAGCTCAGCTCAGCATTTTGCCACAAATCTTTTGTCAAGTGATTCCAGTTTCATTTTGAGAGAAATAAAAACCAAAGAAGCAATTTCTCATTTTCTTACATATACTCCTAAGAAGAAATTAGTGTATGAAATATTTATCAGCCAGTTAACTCCTGTGCCCCACCCTGATGTCCATCACGGTTGCAGAGGAAGAAGCTGGTTCAAATAAGGCCGGCTTTGTTCTGCTCAGAAAGATTTTCCCTTGGCACTCTCTAGATGTAAATATGTCAGATTCCTGTGGATAATCCTTTCCTGTCAATACTGCTTAGGTTGGGGCTGGGATGGAGTCCTACAGTGGTGAGTAAGGATGGAAAACATAACAAGCACAGAAAGAATCAGACTTACCTTGAAACTCTCTTGCAAGTTTTTAGTGCTCTGGCTTTCAAACAAGGTTCTAATAATTTTGTGTTTTTTTTTTTTTTCCTTTCTCCCCTTTGACCAAAATTCCCATAAATATATATGTGCCAAGAGATACAGAATATAATGTTTAAATGTTATTTGCTCTGCAGTAATAATTTGAAGCTTTGAGACAGATTAACTCTTTAAATGTCAGCCACTACAGAGCCACACCTTTATGGAGAGTACTGCAAGAGGCATTATCTAAACAAGTGAACTGACAGTTGTTAATGGCAGATGAAAAGGAAAGAATGCAGTTCCCAGGATATTTCTCATTTTGGTGTCAATCAGGCAATAATAAAAAAATAAAATCATGCCAAGAGTTTCCCAGCCCTGGAAACCCCAAATGCTCTGCTAAATGAAACAAGACCCAGCCTGCAAGTGGTCTGTCTGGGAGCCAGAGCTCCAGGCTAGGCAGCAGTCTG